TTGAAAATGTACTATCATCCATAGTCCATTCCACTTTCTTTGTCCCTGGTCTCTGTCCACATACAGCTACCATCGAAATGACCTATCATGGGCCATATCGATGGTCCTTTTAGTATCTCTAATATGGCAACAGTGTTGAGCAGAGACCCAGGGGAAGGCTTTGTAAGTATAGATTACTAAACTAAGAACTTCCAATCTTCTGAGGCATGAAAACTCCACAAATGTTTATCATTTGGGGCAGAATAAAATGAATGCTACAAGATAGGCCTGGAAGGTGACAAAACTCCTTTCCTGTTATCTATGCTATAGTTTGTCCAACTCTCCTATCCCCTCCTGTGCCCCTCTCCTCTACCTATCCCCACCATTCAGTCTGCTTCCTTTATGACACATTTAGTAAGGTTAATTGTCAACTAACTCTGGCCATGGTCTTTATTTCTTCATATTACACTGTGAAACTTCTCTTAACCATTTGGTTAAAAACTCAGACTTCCTGAGCAATGTCCCACGCTTCAGGAGTGTGCTTTTTTTTTTTTTTAAATCATGATCAAATATTTGGAAGGAAATTTAAAGTAAGAGGAGTAATTTTTGTTTCCTGGTCTCGGTTCATGGTTCACTGGCTCCATTACCTGGGGTCTGAGGGGAGGCAGAATATTATGGGAATGGGAGGGGGAGAACTGATCGCTTCATGGTGATCAGGAAGCACAAAGACAAGGCTCAGGGCACAAAATGTATCTTTCTAGTTTTAAAGATGCCCCCCCCATGTTATCATCTCATGAACACATCAAGGGGTGAATCTGCTCATTAGGTCAGAACCTTCGGAACGCAACCAAGTCATCCATTAATGAGACTGTTGGGGGGCAGGGCCGATTGGAGTCCAAGAGAAAGATGATTATGCAGTCTCAATAATGATGCCCAGCAACAAACACAGTTTGACAGGAACTCAAGACACATGTCCTGCCTTTGGCCCTCCGTACTTTGATCTAACATATACTACCTCCCACCCAGTGGGGGGAAACATCTGTGCCCCCCTCCTCCCGATCACCACCCCACCTCCCAGTCCTGCACTGGCATTCCCGATGCCCATGCCAGCCCTTTGCTTTCACCTCAGTTCTCTTTTCTCTCATTACAGATTCATCTCTTGGCTCCCGTTTGCCTCCCACTGCTGCATGACAAATCCCTTCTAAAATAACACCGGTGACTCACCCGTGGATACTTGATTCCATTTATAAGTCCCTTCCCCCAACCCCCAAAGGGCATGAAGAGTTTCACAGATACTGGGTCTTTTTCTAACCCCATTCTTCTAAAAGGGATGGCCTGGGAAAAGGGAGTGAGGATGGAGCTTGGGCTCTGTTTGAACTGCCTGCATATCAAGCTGCTATGCATTGCTTCTCTTCCGACTCTCCCTCTTCCTGATGGCTATACTTTCCAATGGGTTTACCAGAACAGAACCGACAGCAGCAATTAGACCAAAATCATATCAATCTGCTGTGGATTCTTAACCACTCACCCCAGCTGAAAACCTCAGAGGAGCCTCGGTTTATCTATTAAGTTCATTCCACATCCAGTAGGTAGCCAGATCCATTGCAGCCTTGTGCATATTCCTACACCTCTCCCTGGCTCTAACTCACACCAATGAACCAATCATCTCTCTGGTCCCCACTCTCCTCAACCATTTTCTACCTCCCTTTAAGTCAGTGGTTCTCAACCTTCCTAATGCTGAGACCCTTTAAAATAGTTCCTCCTGTTGTGGTGAACCCCCCACAACCATAAAATTATTTCCATTGTGACTTCATAAGTGTAATTTTGCTACTGCTCTGAATCACAATGTGAATATCTGTGTTTTCCGATGGTCTTAGGTGACCCCTGTGAAAGGGTCATTCAACCCCTGATGGGTCACAACCTGCAGGTTGAGAACCACTGCTCTAAGTGACTGTTCTAAACTTGGAGGCATTATGGTGTCCTCTGAGCACCCTCACCCCTATTAAATCTTGCCTTGCCCTTCTGCTCGGGGCCTTTCAAATCTGACCTCCAGCTACTTTTCCTCTCTGAGCTCTTTTGCCCTCTCATCCATAAGCAGTTTCCCTTGGGTGCCTCCATGATTTCTTTCACGCGGTTCTTCTGGCAAGAATACCCACACTGCCATTTATTCCTGGCAAGTTCCTTTTTGGCTTAAAGGCACAATTCTTATGTCACCTCTTCTGCAGAACTTTTATTTTGAACTTTCCAAGAGTGTATTTAAGTACACACACGGCACAACTCTCCTTGAAGTTATTATATGGATCTCACCTATGTCATGTTCTCAGTAGTAAAATCTGAGTCACACCCCAACTTCCTGACTTGGGTCCAGCTCCCTCCTTTGTGGTTCTTCAACCACTCTACATCAAGTATTTATTAGATAGATATATGTGTTTGTGTGTATCCTGACCCTGGCAGCAAGAGAAACTGGAGAGTTGTTTGTTGACCTGGGCACTTGGCATGGGCAGCTGAGCCTGCCAGGTCAAGTTCAAAGGTCACTAAGTCCAGGGTCACCTGCTAATTGGCTTCTTGGCCCTTGTCTTGCTCTCTGTACTCTGAACCCATCAGTCTGTGGAATTCCCCACAGACTTTCAAATGAAGCACATATTCATTGGTCTGAAAGACAGAACCTTCCTGTGTCTCCAGTGTCTCCCCAGCCTCTCTTTGCCCCTTTGCACTGCTGGGTGGCCTCCATTTTGTCTCTCAGATGTAGTCAATGCTCACACTTCCTTAGCACATCAAGATCACTCTCATCAGCAATCTTTCATAAGTGCTGCTTGTTTCCCTTGCCGGGAATGTCCTGGAACTGGATGATTCTGACTCATCCTTCTGGTCTCAGATCTAGTCTCAAGGTAAAAGCTGCCCAGGCCTTCCCTACAAGGCAATATCTAAACAGGTTTGTTGCTTTGCACCCAAGGCTCTGCATTCCCTGGAAATTCACACATTACCCTGCATACTTTTATGTTATCCCCACTGCAAGCTTCTGTCAGTTCGGGGCCCAAAGACAAGATGTCTGGTTTCACCTCTGCATTGCTGTGCTCAGCAAAGCCCTGGGAACGCAACAAGCTGGACGAATAGCTAGAGGAAGCCTCCTATTCCAGAGTGAAGGGAAAGAGGGGAGGACCTAGGAGAATGAAAGAGAACTTCTTCTGTTCACTGCTAAATGTTCAGGTCTGGAACATATAAGACCCTCAGTAAGTGCTTATCAAATAAATTAATTTATAAAGTAAGTAAGCAGGTTGCATAGAGTATTGCGTTTACTTGGGTCACCTGGTCAATATGCCTTCCTGTTAGCAAGGTCATGGGGGAAGTGACTTCTGAAGAGAAGGCGGGCTCCACAGCTCCAGAGCTCAACCTGGGAGCCCAGCTTCCAACTGTGCAGTCTGAACTCTGCCTATCAATGAGCAACGGCCCTTAAGAAAGTTAATGAACCTCTTTTATGTCTGTTGTTTTGTCTTTAATTGAGATTTGTTGCATGGCTAGGTGAGCCATCACCAGCTAAGCAAGAAAGTATCCTTCATTGCTTAATAAAAACAAAGTATTTGTTAAACAAAAGTCTTTAAAACTGAGAAATCAAGGACTATCCATCTTTTTCATTCGTCTTATTGCCATTATGATCCCCTAGGGTCTGAGAGTCATTTTGGAAGCACAAATATATAATTAACCAGAAAAGTCAGGGGTCGAGAGATGGCAGAGTGGTGTCGAGCTTGGTGAAGAACTTGCTGTTCTTCCAGAGGACCCAGATTCATTTTCCAGCACCCAGGTTCATTTTCCAGCACCCACATTAGGTATCTCACCACTGCATATAATTTCACTTCCAGGGCATCTGATGCCCTCTGGTCTCCTTAAGCATCTGCATACATGTGGTTCACATAAACTCACAAAGGCCACACATGTGTATACATAAATTATAAGTGAATTAATAAATTATTTTTTAAAAATAAAAAAAAATCACTCTGCTCATCTTCTGTGACTCTTAGTTTCCCACCTCCTAAGGAAGCTGTTGCTGCTTACTAAGGTCTTGTTTTGTCTAACACATCTTTGAAAATCATTATGAAGAAATGGCAATGGGAAAGAATAGGGGACTGGATCTTTTGCTGGAAAGTGACATGTTAGTGGTTTCTATTCTGGTTCTCTGTATGGACAGGAGTAAACTGGCCCAACAAGATGCCGTAAATGAATGCCCAAAGGTTCTTAATATTGTTCAGTATCTCCTCAGGAATTTTTCTTACTCAACTACCAGGGTAAGGTCAGTTCTTGCTCTTCAGACAGCTTAACAAACACAGAGTAAACCATCAGCTTCTTGGATAGCAGAACCATAAACTGGAGTCCAATCAGCCATTTGATAAGGACACAAGAAAGTGTAAGTTTGGGGTATTGAGTGACCAGACAAATAATTAAACAAAAAAAATGTACTGTAAATCATGGTCCCATTGAGAGAGATCCCATGTGACAATGTTTGGGAGCATTGAGAGCCCATAGGTACTAACGCAGAGCTTAGACAATAGTAACCAGGGTGCCAACAGCAACAGAACCCATCATAAGGTACTGGGAATATTACCTAATTCACAAAGCATTGACTTTTACTTGACCAACCGACCAAGAGGTAAGAGGATTTGCTCAAGTCGAGCCAGAGTGGAGCCCCTTTCTGAGCTGTTACCCCTCAGAATAGTAATGTGAGGACAGCTGGATGATTTCTCACTGCTTTTATAAATAATACTCTACTATGAAACTGAAATAGATCATGAATTGTCACTGGCACAGTTATAATTTGTAACTCACTTTTGGAGAACTATTCCAAGCTGAACCTAAGAGTGATGAAGCCAGCTTTCATCTTCAATAAATACTGGTCCACATGTCTCCCATCATGGGGACCAGAGATAAGAGAGAGCGAGAGAGAGGGAGGGGGAGATCAATGGGACAGAAGTAAATGATATATTACCTTTCCCTTTATATAATAAATCAAATATAGAACTGTCCTCAATAATAAATATTTATTACTTATAACATTAAAAATAAATGTCATTTAAAAAAATAAAAACAACTTTATTCGTGTAACATTTTCATAAAAGGTAAATATAGCACAGTTAGTCCGTGAGCCTGGGAGCTGAGATGAGCTCTCGGGCTGTGGAGGAGACGCTGTCCTGGAGACTGCTACCCAGACAGAGCCATGGCTGGGCTGGTGGACCTCTGGACTCGTGTGGGAGCTTCAGTCATGTTCTTTTTGGTACGGATCCTTCTGTCCACAGTTTTGATCGCTGCTTTCACCCATTTGGCGTGTGGATCAGCACAGATTTTCACTCCTCGTTTGGTGACAAAACTATGAAGCAAGGAAAAGATAATGTCAGCCATCTTGTCCAGTGAAAGAGAATTTGTACAGAAATTAGCAGCAGAGGAAACCAACTTTCAGAACCCTGAAACCATCTATAAGCACCTTCATTTTGTCAGCTAATTTAGTAAGGGAGAGAATCCTCCAGGTGGCAGCCAGCTCCTGGTGACTGTAATTCTTTTTTTGTTTGTTTGTTTGCTTTGTTTTGTTTTTAAGACAGGGTTTCTCTGTGTAACAGATGTCCTGGAACTCAATTTGTAAACCAGGCTGGCCTTGAACTCATTGAGATCCACCTGCCTCTGTTTCCCCGAGTGCTGGGATTAAAGGCGTGTACCACCACTGCCCGGTGGTGACTGTAATTCACCATGTACCAAATACAGGAGCTAAAGTGGACTCTTGGTACCATCTAGTTCAATTGTTCCATACCTCCTTCCTTTCCCAACCTGAAACTACTAACCTCTTTGGGGAAATTAGAGGTAATTTCTGTGAATTTCTAAGAGTGAAATTCTAAATATGCATCAGAGAGAGAAAGCTGCTCCTTCTGAACAGGGAATTCTGGAAGACAATGTAGGAAAGTTCTAGCTGTGTATACAGGATTCTGGAAGACAGTGTAGGAAAGTTCTGGATATGTTCCTTGAGGTGTAGCACATATAAGGTGTGCCACCCTACACAGTAAGTATCCTACATTAGTGTGACTATTTGGGCAAATCTTAGCCCAGGCTGGCCAGCAAAACTGGACACAGTGTCCATCTATTTTCTAGTCAGACTCATCTGTTGAGCAAAAGGGGGGAAAGGGGTGTATGTTCTTTTATTTTTCTTTCAATAATTGTCATTGGACAGGACAGTAAGAAGACAATATTAATATAGACAGAATGGACTGTTGGCTAAGCTGAGCTTTCCTCCACGGTGCATTCCAAGCACACCAAGCAGCATTCCTTCCTACTACATTTCTAGGTAGAAACGATATCTTTGAGCAGACACTCACATTACTGCTTTCAGTATGCCCTCCCTGATGGTATAGGTCTTGATTCTTTGAACTGGCAGTGGCTGGGTTGTCAAGCTCACACAGAAAGTCTCCTCTAGGACTTCAGTCCCCACACCTAGAAAAAGAAGAAGAAAACATAAATAAAACTGTAACTCAACAAGTATCAAGTTCAGAAGTCATTTATTAAAATACTCTAAAATGTAATAGGAGTATAAAACCACTTGTTCCTTTGAGGAAAAAAATAATTCACATTGGCACCCTGAGTCACTTGTGCGTTATGTACTGTGGTAAATGTTTGGCTGATTTTAAAAGATCAGTAGTGTTGTCTCAGGAATTTCATAGTAAAAGTAATAAGATGGCCAGGCATGGTGGTGCACTCCTTTAGTCCCAGCATTGGGGGTCAGAGGCAGGTGACTCTCTGTCTGGTCTACACAATGAGTTTTGGGCCAGCCAGAATTGTGTCAGTGAGACATTGTCTCAAAAATAAATACGTAGTAACAGGGTGGTATCCATCTTTGTATATTTCTTTCATTAAGACAACTGTGATAGCAGAATCCTCAGGGACACTCTGAACAGCTACTTACTACATAGCAATGTCCTTTTGGTCCCTTTTGTGCCAAAGGCACTAATTCAGGGGAGCATTGACCCTGTTTTATGAAGTACATGTTATAGTGAGGTAGCCAGGAAAACAGAGAGGCAAAGGAAATCATTTCAAATACTAACCTTGCTATAAATTAGATAAAAGAGTGATGGGATAAAGGGTGATTTGAGCAAGCTATCATTCAAGGGAAGAACACAGCCCATTTTTGACTGAACAAATACACATGTTCTCATTTTTAATAGTCACATGTGAAACATTTCCATGGAAGAGATTCCTCAGGGTTTGTCACTAAAGGACTGGACCGAGCGGGGATTAAACTCTTAAGTTCCTAACACCACCTCCCACTGAACAAGGAAAAATATCCTAGGAGAGTGAACCAGATTAAGGAGTTGGTAAAATCTAAAAAGGCCAAGTTTCTAAGTGCTAACTCCCTCGCTAGCTGGAGCTGCTGCTGTGTGCTTCACAGCTGCCAGAGGTCTCAAGCAACCTTGGTAACGATCAAGTTTGCACTGGAGTGCTGCTGCCATGGGAAGGCATTTGTCTACAATATGGAAGCAGAAGCTGTCTGCTCACACTGCTTTCCTTCATGGCTCCTTTCCTTTTCTCTCAATACCAATCTGCACCTTCCTCACCCTCTCTCTGCCTCTGCCAGTATCGCTTCATGCTGGACTTCTCTGGACTCAGAGAAAATCTGGTCTTTTTTAGCTTTCGTCACCAGTCACCACTTAAGAACAATATGTCTCTGTGTCAGGTGTACATGGATGCCGAGGGCCAACAGAACTCTATCGTCCTCACTAGGACTTCTGCTGCTTCTCAGCAATGTCAGGTGGCCTGTCAAAGCATTGCTTCCCATCTGCTGCAGAACTAAGTCAAAGCAAAGATTCCCTTTTGCCCCATGTTGGCACCAGTAAGACACCAGCAAGGTCTTTTAAAACTCCTGCAAGAGGAAAACATGGGAATCTGAGAGCAAGTCAAGAGTTCCCTAGCTCTACAGACTGCACCTGCTCTGGTCTGAGCCCCAGCAGGGCTCAAGAAACAAATAAACAAAAGCAACTGAGAAGTACCCCTCTCATCTCAGCAAAATGCCAGTCGTTTAATGGCATGATACCTAATTGAATATTCTTGAAGGTTTTTTCCCTTCATCAATATTTCTTCTTTTGCCCAGTGTCAAGGATTTCCAGATTGTGTTCCCTTTCTTCCCTAAATGTCCTTGTAGAATGTATGATGAAGTTATGGTATTATAGTCTAAGTATATAGAACAGAATACAAATAGGTCTATAAATTAACTCCAGCCAGTAGGAAAAGGTGACCCTGTAGAAAACATTGACTGAACATTCAGCTACAGCTCAGTGCATCTGCATCTCACCTAGGTATATCTTCCAGGTTCATTAGTTAACAGAATGCGCATTATCTGTTCCACTTAATAGCAAAGGCTGCCTTACAAACTCAAGAAGTCCATCAAAAGTGATAGATTCACAGCAATATTGGCAGACTCCTCTGCTTAGTTGAGGATAATATTGATTTTCTTGATATGAAGATATGAGCTTCTGGTTATTTTTTTGTTTGACGTTTTCAAGTAGAAAACATAGATTTGCTTCCAAACATGAGTCTTTGAGCTCATTCCCCAGTGTGATGAAACTTTAAAAGTCTGAGAATTAATCAGATCAATAGTAAGTAAACAAAAGCAAGCAACCCATTTGTAATCATTGCCAGCATTAATAAAATATCATTATGAGAAGATTTGATGTGCTTAAATAGTCATCAGTAAAAAAAATCAGATTGATTCCATTTTAATTCCAGCTCACAGTGTTCAATGTATAGACAAAATATAACACTCAATTTTAAATAAATAACCGTGAGTCCAGAATGGCTGAGAGTTGAAACTAGCATTCCTTTTTTGCATATGGGAAGTTTGAGGCTCACCTGGACAAAGCAGTTTATTCTAGTCAAAACCCAAGTCAAACCTAGATGCGAGCCTGCCTGTTCCTTGTCCCATTCGCAGCTGTTCGGCTTACCTTCCACAGTGTAGGTGGTGAGGCAGCAGACTCCCAGGAAAGTCAGGAGGAGAAGTCTCATGGCTGAGGTCTTGCTGAGCTATGCAAGAAGAGTGTGGACCAGACTCCTCAGGCGCCCTTTTATTTCCCTCACTTCCTGTGCTCAGGGGGCTTTCAGGGTGGGTGTGGAATCATGGAAAGTCTTTGCAGCGCTGATGATTTTTTTCTTTAAACAAAAGTTCCTTTGCTGTGTTCATACCAACATGATACCTTGTGGCCTTCCCCGCCCCCCAATGTGGTCAATGTGACAGTGAGACTAAATGAGTCCCTGAGATAAAACGTACTTTACTCCTTCACAGCTGTGGGTCTGCAGTCAGATCTTCCGTCCCAAAGGCTAGTCAGTGACATGATTCAGTGTGATAACAGGGCAGAGGAAATGAGGTGGTGTGGTCACTGCGGTCCATCCTACCTGCCTCCTGTGACAGAAAGCATCTACAACCACAGATCAGCAGCTGCTGATACCCCTGCCTGACTCCCCAGGAAAGCAAAAGAACACTTCAGATACCCTGGATTCCCTGCCTTTTCTTCTCATTCTTCTCCCCTACCCTTACTCAGTTTACCCCCATTTCTTTGAACTACTGGAGGAGGAACATTTAAATAAATTTTTACAGCATATTCTCTATGCATGTTTGCTATTTGGGGGAAACACACACGCAAATATATTTAAGCTTATTGAAAAATTGTTCTACAATCTTATTTTAAAGAAACATGAGAGAAAACTAGCACCTTTCAGGGGAGCTGGATCCATGGTTAAGAGTGCTTGCTGCTCTTTCAGAAGATGAGAGTTTTGTTTCCAGCACCCAAGTCATGCA